CGAACAGATTCATGGTTTGTGCATGTATGCTCTGGTGACCGTATGTTTTTGGAACACGAACGCAATTATTGTTTGGGCATGGATGCTCTGGTGACCGTATGCTCTAGGAGCACAAACAGGATTATGGTTTGGGCATGGATGCTTCGGCGACCGTGTGCTCTTGGAATTATGGTTTGGGCATGGATGCTATGGTGACGGTATGCTCTAGGAACACGAACGGAATTATGCTTTGGGCATGGATGCTCCGGTGACCGTATGCTCTTGGAACACGAACGTTATTATGGTTTGGGCATGGATGGTCTGGTGACCGTATGTTTTTGAACACGAACGGAATTATGGTTTGGGCATGGATGCTCTGCTGGCCGCATGCAAAAGTATTGGCCTGCAAATTTCAAGTAGTTTCAACGGGTTAATTTGGAACAGCAAAATGGACTGAAGATTCCCGCACCAGGGGCAACATTACGGGGAAGGGCAAAAAATGTGGCCTGCGTGGGATTTCGAGCACACGCGACATTTCAACGTTGAAACGGCCGGATGCTCGCGTTCCCTTTTTTTTGTCTTTTGGAACGGTAACCTACAGCGCACCAACTACTATAATGGGTTAAAAAGGGACTACTGTAAGGATCCATTCCTTCATTCCTAGCTGACCAGAGGTAAGACTAGTCATCGCAAGGCCACTTTGTTGATTCCATGCTTGTCTGAGTGCAATTCTTTTGAGAAGGACATCCTCCAAGGCAATGTTGGCGACTGCTGGCTGATGTCTGCATTGTCTGCCTTAGCAGAATACCCGCAGCGCATCAAATACCTCTTTCCCAACACAAGGCTGGCAGGATCCGTGGCTTGGGGCTAGTTTCCCTAGGTGCGGCCCACAGCCAACTATCCCAAGCTCTCGCCAGAAAAGGGCTTTTGCTGACTTGCACTGAATGAAAATCAGATATAGCATATCTTGGTAAGGTCGTCTGTATATGTCAGAGACTTCCCTGGTTGTCAGGAGCCCCAAGGTGTGAACCATAATAATTTGGGGGATTTCCCTCTCCCCCCCCGCTCTTTTCCTCGGTCTAGCTCGTGATTATACGTACTGGTGCATTGGAACTGCCTGCAGAACACTCCCACCCTAAAGACCCTTAGTGCGTACATAAGTAGTACATCGGTCTTACACTGTCTTCCGCCCCAAGCCCACACAGGGTTTTGCCCTGTCTGCTGAGCCGGGCAGGACTCGCCATCCCCAAGCATGTAGACTCTAACATTTGAATCATGCTCCGCCCCTTTTAAAACAAACACGCGCGCAACCCAACGCACACACACACACACACAACAAAAAAAAACACAACCCTTTTCGCAGTGAAATTCTCCCATTCTGGTACTTCAGTACCACAACAGAGAGTTCTTAATAAGGGGGATCAAGGGGTTGGAGTGTATCATACGGGGAAGAAAAGATGAGCCGGGCCATGTGTGTTTGCCTGGTCCGGGGATGGATGCGCACGGGATTCGGGTTGAGCTGTTTACGGTTTCGGGGTAATACCCCGCAACGATGATAAGGAGTCATGCAAGATTTGCTGTGGGTTGTCCCGAAACCCATCAAAGATTGCTAGCGAAACTGCATGTCAAATTGTGCCCGCAAACTATGGCAGGCAGCTCACAGAGGACGGGAAGTACGAGGCGGGAAGCGCATGTGTCTCGGGATTTCTCATGGGTTCCCCTGCCAGCCCCACCCCATACACCCACCCTCAGGTCCCACTTCAGCAGGGTTACTCAGGGATCATGCAGGCGCTGACGTGGCGGGTGAGGGACTGGAGCTAACATCCCGGATGCAATCATGCAAACGTTTTATAGTCGCTTACCGCTCAAGGCACGTTGGTAGCACACAATAGGAACGAGAACATTCTGAGAGGGTAAACTTTCTATCTAAACGCCAGAAGTAGGTAAATTTGCACATCAACCCCCTCAAAGTGGCCGGAAAGGCAATTGTTGTGCATATTGTCGGGGGTGTAGGTGCTTCTTCACCCTCAGGCGTCTAAACTACCGCCCCCATACTACTGTAACCCCTTAGGTTTTGCTTCGAACATTAATCAGTCCCGCCCAGAACTGGGGCCCTTGGTTCTTTGACCTCGCTTTTGAAGTATATAGGTTTCCCAAAATTACGGGAACCATTTTTGGGGTCCCCATAACAAGGATTTGAATATATTGGGGCCTATATGGTGATCCCACTATTTTGGGAAACTACCACATATACATATATGTATATAGAACCTTCACATTGTGACTGCCAGGTGCGTCTTTACAGTCTGGAGAAAGGTGACTGGGAGGAGATAGCCCTTTGGCAGCGACTCATGGAGCTCAACTCAAGGGCCGAAGTACCTCATAGTTGAGAGCTGGCGCAGGGTAAAGTTGATGTTGTCAGAACTTAGTACTAGTGGCTGCAGGTTCTGGTATCGGACTGTGAGGTCCTTGGGCCTGGGGCATTATTCCACCCCTCCTTATCTGAGAGAGGTGTTGTTCGGGTTATGTTCTGGTTGAGGGAGAGAAAGGCAGTGTCAGACTGGGGGTGATGGTGAGGCAGGGCAGTGTTCTACGGTTGGAAGAGATGGATCTATCTAGTCTTAAGGGTCTTTTCCCTGAAGCACATTTGCTTATACGCGGCAACGTTTGTTGTCTCTAGGTGTAAGTGGACCCCAATGAGAAACCAACTCTTAAGGAGTTGGTTTGTGTCTTGTTGCCGATATGCTAGTCAATCTTGGGCTTCGATTTTTTGCAATTCTTTCAGAGTTTGCTGAGCGTGCATTGCAAAAAGGTGCACCAGCATATTCGCACGTCACCTTGTCATGTCTTCATGCAGGAGCAGCATGTTGACAATCATGTTTAGTAATTTCCCAAAATTGGGGCACCCCAGTATAGAGGCTAATTATTTATACGCCTGTTTATAGTGGCCACCCGAAAACGGTACCCCTAATGCTGGGAAAACCCTATATTTCGGTAATTCCTATGCTGATATCGGGCAGTGCCCCTTGCGATTGTTGGTGTAGCTAGTTGTTGCTGCAGATTCGCCGGCATTGACCCAGGTACTCAGGCATTGAGCAGTCAGACCTTTTGCGGACAGATGTCGGAATTGACCAGAATAGCTGGTAAAGATTAAAGGTACACATGTACATATAGAAGGGCAAGTCTTAAGTAGGTGGTAAACCCTTCGCTATCCGTACATCTCTCCGGGATCTTTGCAGGCACCGTCAGTTTCGAGAAATCCAGGTTCTGTTCAATGCCTCTAAATGCCCCGGACCACAAGCTGTATGCCACTGCTTAGAACCTGGCAGGTGGTTGACGAGTTCATTCCCTGCAACATCAAAGGGGCAGTTGGTGGGCAGCAATCTTGGACACATGTTTCATAGGTCCAAGCTTTTTGTACCCTTGTTGTTTGCTCACTAAACTTCCTAAACCTAATAGGTATATGCTAGCCTTTAATCTTTTTGGCCATTTAAACGTAGACGAAGGCTCCAACACCCACCTTTTCCAAGCCTTTGAGTGAAGAGATCTGGGTCCAGCTCATCGAGACGCTCGGCAGAGACTGCTTGCGATAGCTTATGGCTAAGGGGCTCGTTTTGAGGGGCTCCTTTCATACGGATGATATTGCTTGGAGTAGAGGCTGGGCCTTAGGTTGTTAGGGCCCAGCTCTTCCTGGCATGTATCATGTAAAATGATCATGTAAAATGTTGCGGTCTAAACCCCATGGCCACTAAATGCTATTTCAGTTAAGTTTTCAACCTGGTAGTGGATTCTTCCTCTGCTAGGCCTTGGTCGATTGCCCAAGTTCAGGTTTTAACTCTCCCCCTCCTTGCAACCCTCCAACAGTTTGATGAGAATCCCTAAAGGCTCCAAACCTTTCATCCCCCCACAATTTCCAACCCCTAAGCACCTTGGCACTTAGCTAGGCCCAAGAACCCTTAACTTTAGGGGGCTCCCCTACATTCCTATTACAGGTACTTAAAAGTGCCATGGAGTAAGGTCGCTTGCAGATTGCCCTAAAATTCAGGGTTGGGCATTCGGCCTGATGGTCCCTATATCTTGGCTTCCTCACTGTGCTCCACGCCCCGGCCGATAGGAAAATCTTGCAGAACGCTTGCATCACCCTCCAGCGATCTTTTGGTATACGGTATACGCCTTGAGGCAAGCAAATTCCATTTGTAGTATAAATTTCTCGAGGAGGTCCCATATAATCCCCAAGTCGGACCCCATACTTCCTTGCTAGCAGCTCCATATCGTAAGGATTCCTAAGGGCACCCCTTTTTGAATTTCCCAGCTGAGAGGAAGGCCTGTGCAAAATTCTGCGGCAGCTATGGTGCCCTCTCGGGCGGTAACGCTGGTTGGGCCTTCCAGGCAAGGGGTTTAAGTTGAAGTTTGGTTTGATCGAAGGGTATAGTTATAAGCAGGGTCAAAGGAAAGACTGTTCTGCTATGTTCTGAATTCTAGTCAAGAAGTGGGCAGCTACCATTGAGTTAAAGGCTCTATGGCCGCGGAACTTTGGTTTCAGGTTGCAGGTTTGTGCTGGGAAGTGAATTTTGAAGGAGAGCTCAGGGCCATCCAAGCCTTTTGGGGCTTTGCTATCTAGATGGGCAGCAAGTAGTATTGCGGGAGTCTGCTTGCACAATTGCACCCTTTTGGCCCCAAAGGGGATGTTACCCTCTCAGGGTTAGGGGATAGTACCCTCAACTCTAAACCCCTAAACTGGGGATTGTACGTTTTGGGGCCTACTGGTGGGAGTTTGAGGATGGTTCGAAAAGACCCTCCCAGGGGCATTGTACTCACTAATCCTATTATAGCCTTCGTAAAGTTGTTTCAAACAGGCTGTGCCAAGCCAGGCAGACAAAAATGCACAAACGTTACACGGACGCAACATCCGCACAGAAGTAGCCGAGCTTTGATCCTTCTGAGCTTTATCTGCAAATCTACAGCAAAGCTTCGAACGCCTCCATTTTGTTTTTTAAATCCAGCTCGGCAGTACACGTCTCAACCCAATTTTAGCTCAGAATTCTGCAGTCTGAAAGCCTTGCGCAGTGCGTGTGCTTATAGCCCTTAATTTGCAGCACCCAGACCCTTCTACATAGTTCCTTTCTGGGTAGTATACTATGGTCCCTTAGAAAATAACAAACTATAGAGGAGCCCTTGGGTAGTGGCAGCTTCATACTTGAAGCCTGCAGGCTCTGACGGGTGAAGTGCACTTGCTGTCCTACCAGAAGATAGAGGAAGGCCGGCAAGCTCAGATGACAAACATATGTGGACTCTGTATACCTGGTTTTGGGAGCCCCCTTGTTTATCATTCATTGTCGCAGCAGCGAGTTCCGGTTAAGCACTTGGGCATCGAGTCGATGCCGCTCCCTGAATGGAAGGGAAGCGTTGTGGCTTTCAAAGTTGTGTCTGTTTCTATATGAACTTTTCATGTGTCCGTGGGCACTCCTTCATAACTGCCTCAGGATAGGCAGTCCAGATCTGTTACAAGCTTGTCGCGCCCCCTTCTAATCACCTCCCGCAGCCTCCTCACAAACAGATAAACATATGTATGTATATATGAGAGGGAATAGTCATCGTTCCAGGGAATGGCGGGATTCAAGGGCAGGTGACCATGAGGTGAGCAACTGTTCCTTCTGCTCCTACATCAGAGCCGCCTCCGCCGCGACGACGACTATATGGCTACAGTCTGACGATGATGATTCTACCTGCCCATGATGGAACTGTGACATGCCAGGTCTTTGGCGTCGGCGCCGTATGGACCCAAAGGAGCAGTGACTTGTCCAACAACTTTCAGAGCTTGAGGACGGTGAGTGTGCATGGACAGTGGGTTTGTTGACGGATGTTCTTTATCAGCGACACAAACACGGCTGGGTCTTTATGTTGACACAAGGTCAGCATAGGTGCATTTTCGCTATGTAGCTGATGCCAGTGCAGGCGGTGTCTGGTAGAAAGAGCGGTTGCCAAACGCGCGGTCTGCTACATGCATGTGAACACAAGTTATGTGCTGCACATGCACGCGCACGCAAAGTCCAATTCTCAGGGTTGATGTAGGCAACCTCGGATAAGTGACTGCATATGTGTCCCGGCCTCGCCGACATGGCCCATGGCGAGCCACCGAGCTGATGCAGGTTCATTGAGGAAGGAATAGGGTAATGGCTGGCGTCAACTCAAATAAATGGAGCATTTCAAGCAGACCTGTGAGGATGTATGCGTAACACTCCTACAAGCAATGAACGAGTGCAGTTAAGATACTTTCACATGCTAGCTGCATAAAGAAGGCTTCCGGGCACAAAAGCAGCGCCAAAGCTGCTGAGGCTGAAGCGCGGTCCTCGTAAGCCGACGAATGTCTACTGGCGCTGGAAGAACAAGGAGCCTGATGCTCTGAGGGAATGCAGATTCATGTAGCATGCTGCGGCCTGACACGTCTACAGTGATGCCATACTCATCATGCTCCCGTCTAGGTAATCAAGAACTCTTGCAACGAGGCCATGAGCTCGGCTGATGTATTCAGAAGACTTGATGCCGTTGTTGCAGGTTGAGGCCGCGCAGGATCATGAAGTTTGTGCAGGAAGAGTGGGCGTTGAACTCTTTGTTTTGATGGCGGAGTTGTGGATTGCATGTTTGGAAGTTTGTGGACCGCACCGACACGTGCACTCCTCTTCTGCCGAGAGGACGTGCACAAGCCAGAGCAACTGTTGCTCGGCGTCTGGCGCTCTCTCTTACAGACCAAGTTTCATCTAGCAATGTTAGAAGATTCGGGTCGCACCTGTACCTTGCAAGTCCAGATACCAAATAGCAGTTGGGCTGGCGGTGCTGACTGTAGCAGGAGGAGGCCGGTAGTAGGATTTTGAGGGGATGGGTTAAGCAGTGGTGTGTGTCATAGTCTGCTTGTAGAGGATCTGAGCGACGAGAAGATTGAATGCTACATGCTTGCATAGAGAGTCGAACGTGGGCGCAACAGACTTAATCTGAACCAAAGTTTGCGATCTCGGACGGCATTGGTTATTTCTGGTGCTCATACATTGCTCATCAGTACGTTGTGTCAAGAGACTATAAGCACATTGAATTCTCGTTGGTGGGCGAAGCTTCGAGACCCAAGGTGCTACGACCTTCTTCTCATGACTATTCTAAGGGGAGGCATGCTTGCGAAAGATATTGGCACCCGCCTCCACCCTAAAACCCAAAGCTCTGAAACCTGGAATCCAAAAACTTTAAGACCTTAACCCTGCCGAGAGGTGTTTTGTTAACCTACCTGTTACTTCTTTGGCATCATGAATTTGGAAAAGCTGTGGATCCGACCGCGAAAACAGAGCCTGTGTGCAGCACCAGCATGCATGGCATTACGTCCCACATTGCCATTAAAACTCTGTTACTATTACTGGTACTACAACCATTACCACTACTGATTGCTATTGCTGCTGCTAGTACAGTTTTGCTGCCGCCGCCGCCACCGCCACCACCACCGCCGCCGCCGCCGCCGCGACCACCACCGCCGCGCGACCACCACCACCACCGCCACTATCACCACCGCCACCGCCACCGCCAACGCCACCACCACCGCCGCCACCGCCGCCGCCGCCACAGCCACCACAGCCACCAC